CCTCGGCGCGAGGACCGAGCGCCTGATTAGCCCCGGTCTGACAGTGGCCCTGGGCTGGGGAAGCTGTGCGCCCCTCACCCCAGCCCCACCCCTGCTTATGTGTGACCCCCTCCCAGCACACCCCCAACATCTCCAACCGCCGGAGCGGGCCAGCCGAGTCCTGCTGGTCCCGGGGTCCCCTGCGGGCCGACACCTAGGGGACCGCGGGGAGGTGGAGGCAGAGGAATTGACCACACACTTTCAGCTGCCAGGAGCTGGAGGGGCAAGGCTGGGCTACAGGTTTCCTCGTGGAAGAAATGGGTCGGACGTTTTTCTTTTCAAAATTTGAAGCAATATCTGTGCAAATTATATATGCTCGATTGCTAAGTCCATGTCATGCTCATATATGCTTAGCTAGTCTTATTTCAGTGTTTTTACGTTTCCACTGATTAATTTTTAGTATGCCTGGATAACGTTTCTCCTCTACTGTTTTTGTTTTTTTTTTCCTATGGAAAATAACTATTCATTCTGGTTCCAGACTGACTGAAATTAATGTACGTAGGCATCTTGTACAGACCTTAAAACCCATACTTTAAAAAATTCGTTTTCGTTTTCCTGGTCCTGAGAAAGATCAGAATCTTTATTGATAAATCCATAGAAACAAAGAAGAGTTTTTTTTTAAAAAAAGAAAAAAAAAAAAAAGAATCCCCTAGATTACAGCTGGAGCACACAACTACTTGCCTCTGCTATGAAGCTAGACCGTATTTTAACCTACAATCTTGATTATATTACTTTTTTAAGCAGTATCTTTAAATTTACTGTTTTCAATTTTATTGTGCAGTAGAAAAAAAGACAATTTCAGTGATTAATTTGAAGCCCAGAACTTGTTTCTTCAAAAAAAAAAAAAAATCGTGACAAAATGCTGCAGTTTCTTTTCTTGCCAAGGCAGAACACAGAATTTGATCTTTTGTTTACAGGGCCAGGGCAACAGTTGCAAGTTATCATTTGCTTACTCGTTCAGAGAATGTGGCAAAGTGTTTGATTGACATGCTCTGCTAGAAAGGGCTTTGCTTAGTTATGTTTGTTTCTAGCTTGGACAAAGTCTGCAGAAAGATGTTTTGAAAGAATGGAAAATGTTGAGCCACATTGCAAATGCTACCGGACTTCTCAGGATAACCTCAGATAATATGTCAGCATCTATGGAGCTGCTCTTCTTTCTGATGTTCCTTCTGGAATGCGGCAGAAAGGGTGAACCTGCTGTTCAATGTTTTTAAAAAGCTGCAGTAGCAAGCTAGAGAATGGGGCTGCCTTCCCTTTGCAAATGAGGAGGACGTTATTTGCTTTATAAATCTCCTAAAAATAATAATAATAATAATCCTGTGCTTATGGGGAAAAACCTGAATGGGAACAAAGTGTACATATTAATGGGAGAAATGGAAATAAGGAAATCTAGGAAAGGGGACTAATAAAAAGTCAGTTTAAAGAATATTTAATAACCAAGTGAGCTACAAGTCTAAATGGGCAAACACATGCTTGAAACTGCTTCATTCCTAAGGGAATTTGTATTCTTCCCTGTCAGGCTTTTCATATAGTAGTTAAACACATTTTAAAAACATGATATGCATTGTATAAGTAGAGGGAAATAATGGCCTAGAAATGAAACGTGTTTAATTATTAAGGATTCATCAGCTTTTTAATGGACCCGACAACTGTTTCGTTCTGCTGTACACAGGGTTCACTATGAGACGGAACTGACTCGACGGCACCTCACGACAACAGTAACAGCTTAACAGTCTTCAATTCCTTATAATTATTTTGATTCAGGCATTCTCTGAAATAATATTTTTCCTCTGTCACTTAACCTTATTTCCCAAATAAAATACAGTGAATTTATTTTTATGACTTTACTTGCTAAAAACTATGCATTTCTAAAAGGGCAATAATTTTACTTGTTATAGTCAATTCATTATTCTGATTCTCCATATTTTACCAGCTAGAGTTCTCTT